ACATGGTCAGAGTGACCCTCTTTCTTCATCATATTCTGCAATGTCTCAAGTACCCAATTCATCTGACACTTGAGAATTCTGATGTCCTCTTTCATCATTTCCTGAGCTTTCAAAAGTCCCTCCATTGTTGCCATTTGTGCTAGATATCCTCCCTCTGATGTCAATGGAATAGAGAATGAACCAAAAAGACCAATGCAACGAAGTATGATATGTAAAATGTCGATGCAAGTGCAAAAACGCAACTGGTTTTACAAAACTCAGAAGTTTGATTAGGTTAAAACCCTCATTTCATCAATTGTTGGGAAAGTTACAACTTTTAAAAATACCAGAGATCAACTGAGTTTTACAAAACTAGTTGCGACATGATATGCTTATGGTGATATGATGGGATGATGCACACATAACACAAAGGCAAGTATTCACGAATACAATGCATACACAAAGACCTCCTAGGCTCAAGATTAAAGCAAGGAGTCAGAGGTTTACCCATCCCCAAGGATTTCAACTATGGGTTAACTTGTACCTGCCGAACGGGTTCTACAAAGTTCTTAGAGTCATCAACCCATCTTTCGGATATTATCAACTTCCTAAATCACTTGGTAATCGATAATATTCTCAAGAGAATCTCGTCTGAGTGTAGTATCGCGTATCAACTATTTCGGAAATACTTCCTTATAGTCATTGCACTACGTCCTAATAAGGCCAAAGTGGGGTAGAATGTATTCTAAAAGTCCACAGTGTCATGGGCTCCTTCGTTGAAAGTAGCATTGTTTTCACGAATACCCGATCAATAATACTAAACTTTCAAGAGGGCCTATACTGAGCAATGGTTTCTCAAGTTAGCTTGGTCGGGAATCAACTCCCAATAAGCCTTCTTGAATATACCACCATCCTATCATAATAGCACTCAAGTCCGGGTATAGGAACGTCTCACCACTCAAGTCACCCAACATCCAACAATCAAACAAATATATTGACAAATATACATGTTAAGCAAATATTTACAAATATAGCATGCAATTAAACAAAATAGGCTAAACCCTCAAGTTAAGTAAGTCTTCCCCAGTGAAGTCGCCATTTCTGTTGCGGTGAGAATCGTGATACCAAGCTATTGATTAACTTGAATCTTTAATTCTTAAATTCACAACCGGACTTTAATTTATCCAAAGGAAAGGTCTAAAAAAAGAAAAACCCTTTTCGTGATGTAACAACAACGCTAAGAGATTCGGGGATCGGGGGTTGGTTATGCCTAGGGTAGGTATTTCACATCCTAAACATCTGTAGTACTCTACAGGAACCTTTTGTTTGTTTGCATGCTAAGTTTGGTAAATGTTTGCTAAGGTTTGGGTTGTGTAAAGGGTGTAGGTTAAAACCTAAAGATAGTTTCTAAGTTTGCTCGCAAAGACCTCGCATCCTCTGTCTACATATCCTAACTAGGATAGAATCAGAGCAATCGTAGTTCACCTCACAAGGGATGAAGAACACTTGATTATGATCAAGGTTCAGAGGGGAACAAACATATCCATGCTTGTGTAGAGTTTAAGACAACTCTCTAAATCTATGTTGAACTCTCAAGAAAGGGAAGTAAGTAATCATATCCATGATTCTTACATAGAGCTAACCAAACTCTATCCTAAGGTTTTACGTTGTAAGACCAAATGGTTCTATCCAGACCAGAAGGTGGGAGAAAGGGGGAAGGTTGCTCGTCAAGATATCGCATCTTGTGCCTACGTATTCTCATTGTCCAATGAGAAATCAGAGCGGTCGTAGTTCGGGCACGAACTACAGAATAAGGATATATTGGTTCTATCCAGACCAAAAGGAGGGGAAGGTTCTATCCAGACCTATGAGGGTATCCTATTGGTTCTATCCAGACCAAAAGGGGGAAGGTTCTATCCAGACCTATGATGTTTAAATCCTATTGGTTCTATCCAGACCAACAGGGGAGGAAGGTTCTATCCAGACCTATGATTTAAATCCTATTGGTTCTATCTAGACCAAAAGGGGGAAGGTTCTATCCAGACCTATGATGTTTAAACCCTATTAGTTCTATCCAGACCAACAGGGGATGAAGGTTCTATCCAGACCTATGATGTAAATCCTATTGGTTCTATCCAGACCAAAAGGGGAGAAGGTTCTATCCAGACCTACGAGTTAATGAGCTATCTATGACCCAAGGGTCAATAGAGAGACTTTCCTTTGGAAGGGAAAAGAGGAGGCAACTGGGATGAGAACTAAAGAGTTCCATCACTTTGGGGAAATAAACTTAAAAAAGCATAATCATTCACACATGATGAATATAAGGGATATGGTTACAAACAGGAATAATCAAGCATATTACAATAAGCAAGGATTTCAATCAGGATGAATGGTTACAACCAAAGCAAGCATTTAAGATATTATAATATCAGGCAATGATTTCAATCAAGATAGAAGGTCACAACCAAAGCAAGTATCAATATATTATAATATCATGAAAGGGGGAAGTTCTTAAAAGACTAAACACAAAGGGTGAAAACCACAAACATATCTTGACAAAGAATGGGGTACATCTTAATAAAGATGGAAGGGGATCTTAACAAAGATGCATCTTAACAAAGATGAGGCTTCAATAGGGCTTACAAGATGACGTGTATACTTAAAGGCATCATGCCTAATCAAATAATGTCACAATAAATGTAAGTGAGAAGTTCAAAACTTCATGGGAGAAAACTTTCAAGTTTTAATGATGATTAAACACAAATGCTTACAAGCAAGAGTTTTAGTCAAACTCAAGTACCCAAGGATTCTAACAAGCCAAAATCATAACTTTAAAATAAAACTCAGAAGTGAATGAAATTAAAGTTTTGAAATGAATAAATGAGAGATAGGAAGGTGAAAACCCTAAAAACATTCATGGTAGCATGTGAAATGCAAGTAGAAAGTTCACATTTATGAGTTTTAGGTTTACCTCTTGAAGCAAGCTTAAGCAATAATAAAACCAGAGATATTGAGAGCTCTTACAAGGTCTTCAAATGTTCCTAGATTGATGAATAGATGCTCCAAAGAACCTCCAAGCAAGCTAGTGGACGAAATGCCTTGTAAATGAAGGAAAAACTCTAAAATCCAAAGATTTCAAAGACCAACTCACTCAAAACTTGTTACATAAGTGTGGAAGTTATTTGGATAGCTTCAATACATTATATTTGATGTGTTTGAATTGTTTCTTGAGTTGGAAAAAGTTTGGAAATGGTTTTGGAAGGTGTTTTGCAAAAATAGATTTTGAGGGATTTTGGAGGCTTAGTGAGATTTTGCAAGAATTTGGTGATTGTGTAAGGGAGAGAGTTCTAGATGGTTTCTAGCATAGAACTGGTGTGTTTGTGATGTAGGAAGTGAGTTCTATTTATAGCCAAAAGCCTTGGATCAAGGTATGGGTAAAAGTGAAGCAAATTGCCAATTTTAACCTTCCATCATGAAAATCTTTGAGATTTCCAATGCAATCTTCATCTTTGTCTTTAAGCCACTCTACTAAGATATTCTCCATACCCCATTGATTTTTTTCATCATGCTTGATAGGATAGGAGGTGACTTATTGAATTAATGTTGATGATTTGACAAGGGTAGCCACCTTTTTTCTCTTTCTTCATTATTCACTTTTGCAACTTGCATTAAATAATGATTTTCTTTGATCTTTGTACCATTTTCGTGGGAATTGATGTACAAATATTCATTATCAATATAAACATCATAAATGAGGCTTAATATTTGATTAGCATCGATTTGGAGAGGTTTTGGAATAAAAAAACTCATGTTGACCTGGTTCTGCCAATGCGAGTTTTTGCCAACTTGTGGACCTCGGTTCTCTCTAACCAGGAAGAGTTATGGAACACACTTGTACTTTTTAGAAAGCCCTAATTAGGTACTACAATATTGATGTTTGTTTTAGGAACTCATTCCTCTTGAAACTAGGTCAAAAACCCTTGTGTGGTTAAGGAGTTATGGCTTTGCCCTTTTCAAAACCTTAATTCCCCAACTTCTCGATTACTTCTCAATTCTTGACCAATTGGTCACAAAACTTCATGATTAGATATTAAATGATGTTGGGAACATATTTGACTTCAATTTTGGGTTAAAACCCTGTTGGTCAATGGGTTGACTTTTCAGTCAGACGAACCGAACGATCGAAAACCTCTGAATCGACCGTTGGTGTCGTGGGTCTTTTGAGGCCTTGGAACTTCTTTAGTGGACTTTCCTAATCCATATGAGCTTCATGGGCCATAACTCCATTATTGGAACACTATTTTAATCAAAAGTCAAACTATAGTTGACTTTTCCTGATCAAAAACCCTAATCGGGTGTTCTGAACTGCACTGTTCTTAATCCTTGGGTGACAACCTCAAATTGGATTCATACTTGATCCAATGGAGTATATTTGATGATGTGGAGACTTATTTGAAGTTGAATCAATCCAAAACATTGATTGATCAGACCACTGAAGCCTCGATTTTGACGGTACGGAACCCTGATTCATCTGCATCTTAATAAAGATAAACTTGAAATCGGTTAAGGTTAGTTAATCAAATGAATATGATCCCACAATGATGATGAGGATCTAAGGGGTCAAAATTTGGGGTGCAACAAATAAAACCTCTTCAATTTGACCTGAGAAATGACTAACATAAATGTGTTCAGAGATACATCTCCAAAATATATCAACAGTATAGTGGTGTGAGAGCACAAGAGTTTTCCCCTTATTTATTTATATAAAGAAAATTTTGTCGGTTGATCAATAGGTGAGTAGAATCATGTACTCTTTTTTATAGAATTGGGTTCATAGTAATTTAAGGACCACAGGGAGTGAGCACCAGAGATAAAACTAAAAAGAAAAAAAGAAAAAGACAGAACCGAAAAAATTATTGAAGTGATAACATGAGAAACGTGCAAATATACGTCACATTGCAGCCATAAATTTACAGCTCTATATACGTTACATTGCAGCCATGGATTCATTCAAATCAACAATGGATTCACCTTCTTCTTTACACATAGCAATGTTTCCATGGTTTGCTATGGGACACTTAACTCCATATCTTCACCTCTCCAACAAACTAGCCAAAAGGGGACACAAAATCTCTTTCTTCATTCCCAAAAATACACAAACCAAATTGGGACAATTCAACCTTAACCCAAACCTCATCACTTTTTTCCCTCTTAATGTACCTCACATTGATGGTCTTCCCTTTGGTGCTGAAACCACTTCAGATGTTTCTTTATCTTTAGGTCCCCTAATCATGACAGCCATGGATCAAACACAGCCCCAAATTGAACTTCTCCTAACTCAACTAAAGCCTAAAATTGTGTTCTTTGATTTCACCTTTTGGCTACCAAAATTTGCTCAAACTTTAGGAATCAAATCTTTTCAATACTTCATTGTTAGTCCGGCAACAGTTTCATATACTACATCTCCACCAAGGATGTGTAAAGGTACAAACTTGACTGAATTTGATTTCATGAAACCCCCAAAAGGTTACCCTAATTCTTCCTTTAATCTTTATTCTCATGAAGCAAAGTACCTTGCTTTAAAAAGAAAATTCGAATTTGGAAGTGGGATTCTTTTCTATGACAGGTTATATAATGGTTTGAACTTCACTGATGCAATTGGGTTTAAAGGATGTAGAGAAATTGAAGGGCCTTATGTTGATTACATGGAAGAACAATTTGGTAAGCCTGTTCTTCTTTCCGGACCTGTTTTACCTGAATCACCAAAAACTGTTTTAGATGAAAAATGGGGTTCTTGGCTTGGAGGATTTAAGGAAGGTTCAATAGTTTATTGTGCACTTGGAAGTGAATCAAAGTTAACACAAGAACAGTTTCATGAATTGTTACTAGGACTGGAGTTAGCAGGTTATCCATTTTTGGCAATTCTTAAACCTCCTGTTGGTTTTGAGACGATCGAGGATGCTTTGCCAGAAGGGTTTAAAGAAAGGGTTAAGGAAAAAGGGATTGTTCATAGTGGATGGATACAACAACAATTAATTTTGAAACATTCTTCTGTTGGTTGTTTTGTAACACATTGCGGGGCTGGTTCGTTGACAGAGGGGATGGTAAATAATTGTCAGATGGTGTTGATGCCGCATTTAGATAGTGATCATATCATTAATACAAAGATTATGGGCAGGGAATTGAAAGTTGGAATGGAAGTGAAGAAGGGTGAAGATGATGGGTTGTTCACAAAGGAAAATGTTTGTGAAGCTGTGAAAATTGTTATGGATGATGAGAATGAGATTGGTAGAGAAGTTCGGACTAATCATGCCAAATTGAGGAGCCTTTTATTAAGCCATGATTTGGAGTCATCCTATGTTGATAGTTTCTGTGAGAAGCTTCAAGAATTAGTCAGGTGATTTCATAGCTAGTAGAACTGTATCCATCTCTATTATATTGTATGCTTGAATGTTTTCAATAAAAAAAACATGCATATTCTTATCGATCTGATTGGATTCATATGAAAAGTTATGTGTTTATATATTGTTGTATGCTTGAAGATTATTATGAACAATTGATATGGCATTCTTGCTTATAATCAAACTAAATTAGAAAGATTTATTATCACTGTAACTGAAAATGCTAGAGCAAATCATAAAGTTTTTGACAGAAATTATCGATACATGAAGATTCTAAATTGTCGCTAAGAAGAAAGTTTCTCATCTTATCATGATTTGCCTTCACTTCTCTTCCAACCTCATTCTCATCATCCATCACAATCTTCACAGTTTCACACACACTTTCTTTTGTAAACAACCCATCTTCATCACCTTTCTCAACTTCCACACCAACCTTCAACTTTGTACTCATTACTCTTGCATTTACGATATGATCACCATCTACACGTGGCAAGAACACCAACTGACAGGTATTAACGAGTCCCTCAGTAATCGAAGAAGCTCCACAGTGTGTTATGAAACATCCAACAGAAGGGTGTTCTAAAATCAATTGTTGTTGAATCCAACTTCCATAAACAATCCCTTTTCCTTTAACTCTTTCACTGAACCCTTCAGGTAAAGCTTCTTCAATAGATTCAAATCTATTAGGTGGCTTAAGGGCTGCAAGAAACGGAAAACCCGCTAACTCAAGGCCAAGCAACAACTCTTGAAACTGATTATGCTGTAATGGACTTTCACTTCCATATGCACAAAAAACCACAGAGCCATGTTTGAATTCCTTAAGCCATGCAACCCATTTTTCCTCTAAAGTAGTATTTGGTGGCTCAGGTAATATAGGACCAGAAAGCAAAACAGGTTTTTCATAAACAGTTTGAAGATAATCAGCATATATCCCATCTATTTCTTGACAACCTTTGAAAGCAAGTGCATCTGACAATTTTGCACCTATTCCCATACGATCGTATAATAAAACACCACTGCCAAACTCTAGTTTCCTTACTGAATTTAGGAATCGAAGTTCGTGTGAATGCAGCTTGATGCAAGTATCAGGGAACTCAGAAGGTTGTTCCGTGAGATCAATTTCAGTTAAATCTCTTCCTTGACTAAGTCTTTCTAAATTTTCAACGTTTTTAATTAGTGGACCCAATATCATGTATTGGAGACTTTTGATGCCAAGGTTTCTAGTTATGTTTGGTAGCCAATATTGCCAATCAAAGAAAACTATTTGTGGCTTTACCTCCCTCAAAAGAAGCTCAATTTGTTTATCAGTTTGGTCCATGGCCGTAGCAATAAGAGGGGCTAAAGAGAAGGGTACATCAGAAGTAGTTTCAGCATTATGAGGAAGGCCATCAACATGAGGAACTGTGATAGGGAAAAAGGTGATAAGATTTGGATGAAGATTGAGATGTTGTAACTTGTTGAGTGTGTTTTTGGGAATGAAGAAAGAGATTTTGTGTCCCCTTTTGGCTAGTTTGTTGGAGAGGTGAAGATATGGAGTTAAGTGCCCCATAGCAAACCAAGGAAACATTGCTATGTGCAAAGGAGGAGAAGGTGCATCCATGGTTGATTCTGAATGAAATGAACTAGAGGGACACATATATGCAAATATAGATGTACAAGTGATAAAATTTTGATGTATTATGAAGATTTTGTGGATGATGCAATTCTATATGAGAAAGAAATATTAACTTTTGAAAATGTCGGCAAGCAATTTTGATCACACATTTATGACTTTTGAGACAAGCTATCGTTTATTAGATAGTTATTCAACGTACACCTAAAGTTAAACAAGTGAGTGTAAAAGAGATTTTTGATGGAGACTATTTCTATTGAAATAGTAGGCCAAAATGATACTAATATACATATTATTGAGATATTGTGACATCGGTTAAAGTATACATAAAATTCAACTTCCATCAACAAGTTCAAGCCTTTCAAAAATATTGAACAAATCGAAATACTTTTTGATCTTATTAAAAGTAAGAAAATATTGCACCAATTTAGATTTATATCCAAAAGAGTTTGTAAAAAATTGTTAGAAAAAATCAATGAAGATTGATTTAGTTGGTAGGAAAATGACTCATACTATGCAAAATCACAAATTTAGCTCTCGTTTTTTATGTGAGGAATTTTTAGTGAGTAACATGTAAGTATTGTTGAGAGATTAGATATAATTTAAGTTGACTTATGTTGCGTCAAGTTTAAAGTTAATTAGAGTTTAGAGGTTGTTATTTAGTTTGTTATTTAGTATTCAAATCACTTAGTTGTATATAAATAGATACTTTATAATTTAGTTTAATTATCATTCAATTCATTAATACAATTTTTATTGCTTTATTGTCTCTCTTTCTCTCCTCCCTAAAAGTGTCTTACACACTAACAAATTGGTATTTAGAGATCCGATTAAATTCTTAATCATGTTTTCAAGAATTACACGTTAGAGATCGTGTTTTCAGATTCGTAGGTTGTTATTCATCAATAACTGCAAAGATGAATGATAATGGAAATTTACCAAACTCCCTTCCAACTATTGACAACAAGAATTGACTTCAATGGAGAAAACAAATGTAATCTCTATTTGACTTTCATGAAACCCTAGAAGTGGTTACGCTTGGTGAAGATGCAACCGACGCATAGTGGTCCACTCACAAGGATGCTAAGAAGAAGGATTGCAAGACATCATTTTACATCCAATCGGCAGTTGATGCAACTAAATTCGACAGAATCGTTCATGTTGAATTGGCGAAGGAGGCATGTAATATTCTTGTCAAGTATTATGAAGGAGACGAGAAATTCAAGGTTGTCAAGTTGCAAAATTTGAGATGACAATATAAATTGTTATCGATGGAAGAAGACAAAAAGATTGCAAGCTAAGTGTCGAAGGTACAAAAACTCGTCCATCTCATGAAGGGTTGTGGTGAAACCCTAACCGGTAAGATGATAGTTAAGAAGGTAATGCGTACGTTGACCTCTCACTTTGATCACGTTATTGTAGCTATTCAAGAATCCAATAATCTTGAAAACCTAAAATTAGAAGATTTGATTGGTTCGTTGGAGGTGCATGAGATTAGGATTATCAAAAGTGAAGAAGTTCAACACTCGACACAAGCACTATAGACTCAGTCATGGAACAAGAATGGTGGTTATAACAAGTTCAAAGACAAAATCGACAAGTCTCAGGGTAAGAAGTCTTGGTCGAATCATCCAAAGAATAAGGTCGATGATAGAGCTTCTGAATCCTCGAAAAGAGGAGAAGGAAATTCCTATAAAAAAAAACAGAAGAAAAAAATGTATGATGTGATATAACTATAAAAAGTGAGGCCACTTGGCCAAACATTTTTGGTATAGGAAAGGCAATGGATCAACAAAAGGCAAGGACGAAGGAACGAACCTTGCACGTCAAGATTCAGACGATTCTGATGATATGGTGGTTATGGCTACAACTGCAAATGACCATGTCGAATCCAAGATCTAGTTCCTCGACTCAGGCTGCTCGAATCACATGACTGATCGAAAAGTATGGTAGTAGATTTCGACGAGTCGAAGAAGAGCAAGATCAAACTTGCTGATAATAGCTTGTTGCAAGCAGAAGGTACTAGCAACATAGTTATTCAAAGGAGTAATAGAGCAAAAGCCTTGATCAAAGATGTACTTTGTGTCCCTGGAATGAAGTGTAATCTGTTAAGTGTTAGACAACTGGTCGAAAAGGGGTTCTCAGTGGTTATGAAAGATGGATCCTTAGAACTTTTCGACATCCAGAATAACTTGGTCTTGAAATCTCCTCTGTCGAAGAATAGAACATTTAAGACCATGATCAGGTTGACTGAGGTACAATGTCTGAAAATAGTTTTCGACCACAAGAATAATTGGTTATGGCATCTGAGGTTTGGCCATCTCAACTTTAGGTCGCTCAATCAACAGATCATTCAAGATATGGTAATTGGTATACCGAGTCTTGAGATGCCCGACAAACTCTGTGAAGTTTGTCTAGTCAGAAAATAGTCTAGGAAGTCCTTTGTTTTGACTATGCCAATGAGGTCTTCATGCATACTCAAAGTTGTACATTCAGATGTATTTGGTCCTTTTGAAAAGCATACCATTGGTGGAAACAAATATTTCATATCATTTATCGATGAGTACAGTCAAAAGCTCTAGATCTATGTGGTCAAGCGAAAGGACAAAGTATTTGAAATCTTGAAGAGATTCAAGATACTTGTCGAAAACCTGAGTGACAAGAAGATCAAGGTTCTGCGAACAGATGGAGGTGGTGAATACACATATAAGATATTTGAAGAATTTTGTGCAGAACATGATATTGATCATGAGGTAACTACTCCTTATACTCCTCAACATAATGGAATAGCAGAAAGAATAAACAGAACCATATTGGACATGGCGAGAAGCATGCTGAAGTAGAATAATTTGTTAAAATCTTTATGGAGTGAAACTGTTTCGAATGCTGTTTATATTCTAAACAGGTGCCCTGCCAAAAAGCTGAAGAACAAGGTTCCTGAAGAAGTGTGGAGTGGAAAACAACCATCAGTGAGTCATTTGAAGGTGTTTAGCTCTATGTGTTACAAGTATGTTCCTGATGCAAAAAGAAGGAAGCTTGATGACAAGAGTGAACCTATGATTCTGGTATGATACATAAAACCGGTGCATATAGGTTGTTCAATCCAATTAATCAGAAGATCATGATGAGTAGAGATATTGTGATTTATGAAAATTCTTCATGGGATTGGAATTCTAGTGATGCAATTGACAAGCCATTGATGAGCTATGATTTCGACGAAGCAAGTAATGATGTCGAAGTTGAAGATATTATAAATATTCCAGTTAAAGTCAAAGTTATTGCTAACATACCCGACACAATCAAATTCGAAGAGGACATGGATAACATAAGCTATAGACCTCAAAGAATTAGAGCTCATCTAGCAAGACTTCAATACTATGAAGTGATTGGGGATGATAATGTCACAACAGATGGATAACTAGTTCATTTTGCTTTACTTTCAAGTGATGAACCAATCAACTATATCAAGGATTTAAAGAATATGAAGTGAAAGTTAGCTATGGTCGAAGAGTTACAAGCAATCGAATGAAATAACACATGGGAGTTGTTTTAATTTCCAGAACATACAAAAGCTACCAAAGTGAAGTAGGTGTTCAAGTTGAAGCACAGTGTTGATGGGTCGATAGCAAGACATAAGGTGAGATTGGTAACTCGAGGATTTCTTCAGTGAGCAGAACTTGACTACTCTGAAGTCTTTGCACATGTCACAAGATTGGAAACTATTCGGCTAGTGGTAGCCTTTGCATGCAAGTAAGGTTGATAGAAATTTCACTTAGATGTAAAATCAACATTTTTGAATGGTCCTCTAGATGAAGAGGTATATATCACACAACTTCTTGGATTAGTGAGGAAGCAAGGAAAGTATACAAGTTGCACAAAGTGCTTTATGGTCTCAAGTAGGCACCTAGAGCAGGGAACAACAAGATCGACTCATACTTTGTCAAATTGGAATTTGTCAAATGCAAATTTGAGTATGGCGGATATGTTCTGGTTATGGCACAAGATATAACAATCATCTGCTTATATGTCAATGACTTGCTAGTAACTAGAAATAGCTTGAAGAACTTGTCAAAGCTCAAAGAGCTGATGAAGGAATTTGAAATGTCGGATATGAGAAAGTTGTCATACTTTCTAGGCATGGAATTTCAAATGTAGAAGCAAGGTATGGTGCTACGTCGAAGAAAGTATGTCAAAGAGATACTCAAGAGATTCAGGACGGATGATTCGACTCCTGCATCTTCGTCAGACGAACCAAATTTGAAGTTCGAGAAGCATGGAGAGAAAGACAAAGTCGATGTAACTTTGTTCAAACAAATTTTCGGTTCTCTGAGATATGTGTGTAACAATCGACATGATATATGTTTCTCAGTCAAATACTAAGCAGATACATGAGTGAACCAAGGGTGTCACAGATGAAGGCTGTAAGAAGATTCCTGAGATACTTAAAAGGATCGTCAAATTATGGAGTTTTATTTTAACGAGACTCTAAAATCAAAGAAGTTATGGTTACTTACTATTCAGATGCTGATTGATGTAGAGATAAGGAAGATCGAATAAGCACTATTGGATATTTATTTCAAGTATTTGGTGCCCCAATCTCATGGTGCTCGAGAAAGCAACATGCGGTGGCATTGTCATCGTGTGAGGCTGAATATATAACACGATCCTATGTTGCATGTCAAGCAATTTGGATCAGATATGTGCTGGAAGAAATGGAGGTCGAAGTGAAGAAACTTGTGGTACTGCAGATCGACAAAAAGTCAGCCATAAATCTGGCGAAAAATCCAGTTTTGCATGGAAGAAGTAAGCACATCGAAGTTAGATTTCATTTCCTGTGTGAGGCATTGCTGAAGTGAAGCACAATTGGCCAACATTTCACCAAAGGATTAATGTTCAACATGTTTCTAACATTGAGAAAGAAATTAGGAATAGTTCAGATCGAAAATGATTAATATGTTTCGACAACTTGAATTATAGGTGGTATGTTG